TTTTGAAAATAAACTTTACATATTAATAGAAATACAGGAGTTAGTTTAAACTAATTTGGAAAAGAGATCAAGTGGCTTCGTTGGGTAATTGAAGTATCCATTCTGTATGTAAATGGTTGCTGGCGACGGGACTATGATTTCCATACAAACGACATCGTCAATGTGGGCTACCAGTATTATCATACGGCTCGTTGTTTCAATGAACATTTGGCTCAATGTTCACAAAATGTTCCAATGTTGAGTTGGGTAAATAATTTTTTTCCTGTCAACCTATCGAGATAGTATTTAGCATATAGTTTATGGTATAATTATTGAATGACTCGATTAATCTACTTAGGCCCCTGTTGGTGGATGTCTCATCCTTTTGTAAAATTTTGGAGTATTTTTCGTGCCAGATAATGTTTGCATGTGCTGATGTTTACACATTGCATTCCCTCATTGTTGTGTTTGTTTTTACAGTATGCACCTAACACTTTTGCTGTGCTATCACAATAGCAACAACACAAAACAACAAACGTAAGCAAAAATCAAGCATTATTTTGGATGTCAATAATTGTATCTAGTTAAATAGTTTTAAATTTAAAACGATATTTTATAAACTAGTTGGAAACTTTGGGGTTTTTAGTCAATTTCTACTTACGTCCACAAAGAAAACGTATTTCAATACCATTTATTTAACATAATTAAGTGACGGAACAAAAATTTAAATGACTAACGGAATAATTTATTATTCTAATACCAAAAGCCGTTTTCAGCTTTTTATTTATGTGGAATAAAAATCGTATTAATGTAGCTAGCGTTGCATGTACCTCAATAACATCTGTTTTTCCTGTTTGGATTTTCAAATTAGTAGAATACTCTATGTACAATCTTGTTGGGTGATTATTATTGTTTGTTTTTCTTTCTCCTATGTAGTATTAATATTCTAGTAAAAGGATAATTAATTCGATGAAGTATTTTATTCAACAGTTTTTAACTGTATTAACATAAATCTCTTTTGACTACATGTTAGAAAATAATGGTATTTTAGTGAGCTACTTAAATTATTTCATCAACGATTACAAATTTAGACATACACAAAATAGGGATATTTAAAAGCTAATACAGTATTAGGAATTAAATAAAGAGAAGACATCAACGGTCTTAGCGTGCTTCAGTTGACCAACAGGATGACAATCTATAAGGGAGTAAGTTTAATGATTAGTTAGACACTTACGACGGTTGCATGTACAGTGAGTTAAATAGTAATGAGACTTTGGCTGCAGATTATAAGATCAATATGTCTATCAACTCCGCCAACCCCCGTGCCACTGTGAGCAGAGGTAAGTTCTTGATTTAAAAAACACTACCGTTAAATGCACGCTCGATTATGAATTTGTAGCTGATTGTAGAAGAAACTAGTGGCTTTCCTCATGCAATGCAATGGGGGAAGAACGTGGAAAAGAGAATGTGATTTTAAATATAGGCCTACTAACATAGGAATCCCGATTTGATCCTGAGTTTCGATCCGGACACCGCTGTCTTTAATCATTGAGCTTTCAGTAAATTACCTTCTTCGCTTTAAACAGCTGGTCTTATAACTATTGTTCGGCCGTTTAGAAAACGACCTGCGCGCTAATGCTAAAACAATGCTGGAGGAGGTCGCTTTCTAAGCGGCCGAACTATAGACGGCCTATTGCTCTTTGAATGCTAAAGAATACACCCCATATGGTTAACATGTATCCTTTTTGAATTCAAAAAGAACATTGTTAAATCTCACTCAAAGTTTTTTTTTCTGATATTCTATTTACTCCCTCAAACTTTGTTACTGTGACAGTCTGTGGCATAAAAGGTGGTTGGTAAGCTTGCGTATTCGACAGAAATCTGCAATTTACACCAGCGCATTCTGGCTGTGGCTCAGTTCAACTGTGTTTATTTTCATTCTAAAACAGGATACAACTTAGCAACAATAAAATGAGCAACTCAGTCCATGTCATAGCCTTAGTCAGTAACAATGCTACAATGCATCTCCTCCCTCCATTCTACTCGCATCCTTCTCTTTTTTGCGTTGTAATAACCAATTTGCCTATCTTCGTTGGTAACACAAATGATACTATGGAACAGTTAAACAACTACCATTTTTTTAACTGTTTACATGTCCACACACATTATTTTATTAAATATTCCAAATTGCAACTCTTGAATGCATTACTTTTCATTGTTTGAGTTGTGTGGCTTAACTTTACCAAACCACACTATTATCTTCTGCGTGCTGTGAAGTATAGTAAAACCACCCCCGCGAATTACAAAAGTACAGAAAACTCATATCAGTTTAAAAACCTCATTTAAATTGTCGAAGATTTTAATGATATAAATGAGAGTGTAAAATTAATAACTCTTAAAACACTTATAAAACCCATCAGTGTATTTCAGTATTGAAGTATACCTTCAAACAGTAAAAGGGTTACATCGTTAAAAATCACACTAATAATAAAATTGCAAATGGAATGCAATTCAAAAATAAAACACATAACCTGGTCATGAAGTACTTCGTACACAAAACAACCGTAAACTTATCCTGCTATGTAGGTCGGGCCAATGCAAGTACAACAGTTTAGTACTACTTCTTTCTGGAGCTATATTTACAACCAACACTCAAACGGAATTGCAAACATGCTCTGAAATAGTTTATTTAGATTTATAAACTTCCCTTTTGACTTTAGCCTGATTCAGATTTACCTGTGACTGATTCAAGGTAGAAAGATAGCTAGTATAACTTGAACAAAATTCTATTAAATTCAGTTTGTTAACTATTCAAATTTGCGTTTCGGGCATTTTAGTGAACTGTGTAAAAGTGTTTTGCTTATTGTGTGTATCACTGCAAATACAACCAGAATGCTTGTTTTAGAGAAGTAAAAGTAATATAACAGAATCTTTAAATCTATTCCAGAATTTAAAAACTAAAAAACATGTTTTTATACCAAAAAATGCAAACAACTTGTTTATGTTTCAGAATCGTTTTCAAAACGAAGGTTTCTGCTGTTGTTGTAATAGCTATTTACCTTACAAGTGTAGTAAGAGCGTTTTTACATCACGCAGGTGAAGGTTGCATAATTTACCTAAGTGATGTAAACACGCTCTTGCTTAACGTGTAACGTACAAGATTTTACCTGACCCGACAATATACAGGAGGTTACGAACAATATTAATCATTATCCATTTCACTCATCTTCTAACAGTAACGTTCATTTACAAACAAAAGCTAGGTTAGGAAAATTCTTCAAAACATAACAATAAAATTCAAGAGCACAGCTGATTTCTGGCGTTGAACGTCGTTGGCTCCATAGAGGTATAATTTTTTACCTCTATGGTCCCACAGGTTTAATGATCCCACAGAGAAATTCCAGACTGCCTTAAAAAACGCAATGAATAAATCACATTTCATTTTAGATGGGAATAAGTGTAATCACCTAAAAATGATGAAGCCTAAAGCACCAGCACTAAAGGGGTTACCTAAAATTCATAAAGAACATATGCCGATGAGACCATTAGTAAATTTTACCACTGCACCATCATACAAAATATCAAAAACACTAGACAGGATACTTCGGAGCAACATAAAATTGAACAACAACCACAGTCTTAAAAATAGCCTAGAGTTAATTGATTTTACTAAAAATATGAAGATAGAAAATAGACACACCCTAGCCTCACTAGACATAGTAAACCTGTACACAAATATCCCAGTTCAGAGAACCCTTGAAATTACAAAACACAACCTGCTAACTTACTCTGAACTTGAAGCCGATGCCATAAATGAGTTGATTAGTTTACTGGAAATAGTTTTGGAACAAAATTACTTTTCCTTCAACGGAAAATTCTATCTACAGAGAGAAGGGTTAGCTATGGGCTCTCCACTGTCTAGTATTCTTTCCGAAATTTACCTCAACAGTTTTGAAAATGAACATATTTTCTCCGAAAATAACAAATTTGCTAATAAAATTAAGTTCTATAAAAGGTATGTTGACGACACTATTGTTGTATTCAATGGAAATGTGAGACAATTAAACTTGTTCAATAATTATTTGAACAGTATATATAATAATCTACAATTCACCTTGGAGACTGAACAGAAACGCTCTATCAACTTCCTTGATCTATCATTAACCAAAAACAACAATAAACTTACATACAGAATTTACAGGAAACCCACAACCACCGACCATACTATTCACGCCACTTCAAATCATCCACAATCCCATAAAATGGCCGCATATAATAGCTTTGTGAATAGACTCTTAAAGGTGCCAATGACCCAAGAAGATTACAACATTGAGTACACAATTCTAAAATACATAGCAGTAAATAATGGTTACTCAAGCAGCATTATAGATAAGATAATTAATAAACAGAAGAACAAAAAGTCTCCAGATGAACCTAATTCTAAATTTGTATCCATTGAGTTTGGCAATAATCTACATTTCACCTTGAAAAATGAATTGAAAAAACAAAACATCATTCTGGCATGTAAGACTACCAATAAACTAGAACAACAATTGAACACATCCCCTCCTGATAATAGTAACAGCCTTGAAACATCTGGCGTGTACAGATTATCATGCAACGATTGTCCCAAGGTATATATAGGTCAATCAGGTCGTTCATTTCGTAAAAGGTATGTAGAACATCTCCCCAAGCCTAAATTGCAAACACAAAAATCTAAGTTTGCAGAACACCTAATGAACGAAAATCACAATGTCAACAGTTGCATAGATAATTTAGAGATATTACACAAATGTAATAAAGGTAACAAAATGAACGTTCTTGAAACCTTTGAAATTTACAAGGCAATCAAAAATTCCCCAAATGATGTTTTGAACGAGAAGTTAAATTTTGGATCAAACATTTTATTTGACAGAGTGACAAAACTACAGAACAATAGACGAGATAAACAGCTGATTCCCCTCCCCCAAGGTCAACACCATCAAGTAGGCATCGGCTAACCTACACTCTTATCAAACCCCGCAGTCTGGTTTTGTCCTTGGCCGGCCACACGCGCATGTACATGTCTTTGTATTGTATTATAAACGTTTTCGTATGTGTTATGTTTATGTGTGAAATAACTTTGACGACGGCTTGTGCAAGAAGATATGTTTGACATATGACGACTGAAAGAGAAGATTTGAAAATGGGGTTTTAGCCCCGAAACTAGTCATCAACGACAATATATAGGACTGATTGACGACAGGTTAGTAACCTCATTTTAAGTCATTAAATCAATCCTGGAGGCAAATTATGTATAAAATGTATAAATAATTTTTTAGTTAATCACTCAATGTTATTTAAATGGGTTTCATTACATCACCGAGTGAGTTTTTGATACTTTACATCACTCGAGAAGTAAGGAAGTTGTATACATCACGCTTGGGATAGGGAAGTTTAACATGGCGTGTTAGGTAAAGTATGTTTACAAAATTACAATGAATTGAATTTTTACCTTTTAACATGTGTTTTATTTCTATTTAATTCCAGCATGTGTTCAAATTGTTATAACGGTTACTTGTTTAGTTGTTTATATTTTTACCTACTACCTATTTATATTTTCTCTTACAAAACATGTAATATTATTTGTTAAATTTGTGAAATCAACACTCCCAAAGTTAAATCTGTACCTCATTGTACTGATTCACTATTTTCTTCTGTCTCCTTCGAATGTGGTAAAATATAGTACACGTTAGGACGTGTTTAACTTTTTTTGGGGCATTGCACTATTAATAGGTTTTTAATTTTTCCTTGTATTATATTGAAATTTTTTAGAAAAAAATAAAACCCCGTAATAACATAAAGTGTCCAGCTGTAAAAAATATGTTTTCACCACACTCTAATGTTTTTGGCTGTATTACATACGTTAATTGGTGGCTGAAAGTTACGTTTTGCTGGCCATGCCAGCTGTCATCGTAATTTGGGGACCGAGCAGGTTTTTACAGCCCGGGGCCGCAAAATCAGCTGTCCACTTACTTAAAACATGAATGCATTTTAAATACACAATCAAAATCCATAGCATTGCAATAGAATTGTGTTATTGTCACCGTTGCCTAGCAACTGTTTATTTTTATTTTTGCTGATTCCTCAAATTATTTCTTCACATAACCTTAAAGTTGTAGTTGTGTTGACTATCAGTGTGCATTATTATAGTGGTGAATAGTGGTAATAGGGTATAGTGTGGTGAAAAATAGCGTTCATACCACGGACCGAAATGGTTTTGCAGCTCTCGATCGAAAAACTATCTCGAGCCGGCAAAACCTCATTTTCGGCCCTAGGTACGAAATATACTATTGATTTTGTGTAGATGAAAAGTAGAGGCCTATTCTTTGAAATGTTGAACTATGATTCGACACGGAAGTTACTGAACGAGATATTATACGTATCTAATAAACAGACGTGAAAAAATACAATAAAAATATACAGGATACAATATAACAATTGATACAAAGCCAACTTTAGTTCTATCTAGGTCCCAATATGTCAGCTAAACCGTCGAAGCCTTGGTTATCGTTTGTTTGTTCTCGATAGTTCATGAAGAAAAGTTACAATCCTTTTTAACCTTTTAATCTGAAAAGAATAGTGCAAATCTGAGGTAAATTCAGCACCTAAACAAATATTTTTCGGACAAAATATCATATTTTCTGAAACAAATTAATTAAACATCGTACAGCTTTGAGCGACTTTTATTAAGAATTTTGGACAATTCAGAATATGTAAGGAAAATAATAAAGTTCAGAGTAAGAACATGTAAAATGTACAGTAATTAGTTATTCGTTTAACAAAAAAATATATACATTTCTATAATAAATCCCTACTTCTTTTTGAGCAAATTAAGATTACCTTTTAAATTTAGCCTTTATTTTAGTATCTAATTGCCCATTTTAGGACTTATTTCTATGATACATTTTGTCATGTTGGGATAGGATTAAGGATTACTCTAAAAGATACTTTCTAATTCATCAACTCTTTTCTTTTACCTCCAGATGTATATGAGGTGATCTCTAGTCCCAGGATACAGACGAAATAAACTGAAAAACTGTGCCTTGTCCTACCAAAGTTTTGCAAATCTTTACTCACTACTTTTTCTATGAATGAATTATTGATTTCTCATTGGTCATGGTTTTCTTCGTCATTGAAGCTTTAATTACCACCATTAGCTTGTAATTACCACCATAAACTACCCTTACTAACGAATATTCAATTTTAAAATTGATAACCGTAAAAAATTACAGTAAAGCTATGTTAAACGATTGAAAGAAATTTAAGTCATTACACATTCAAAACCCAAAGTTTGCTTCATTTAAAAGTTTGTAGGCTAAAGAGCTATTTATGGTTTACGGTTACCTTGTATCAATTAGGGTATTCACATACAGCATTGGGCATTGCAGTAAGTGAGAATAGTCCAAATATTTAGATCATAATTTCTAGTTTCAACCTAACTCTACTCAAAAACTAATACAAATTTATATTAGTTAAGTACCTAAGACTATAGCATGAACTCAATTGAGCTTTTGAGGAGTATCTTTTAACCCTAACAACTGTAAGTGTGAACGTTATTGTATCAAGTACATTAGTAGTTGATATAATCGTTACTGTGCAATACAAATGTTTCCGTCAGTCTGGGGTACCTCACTCACCATCTTCAACTCCAGCGTGTCCAATAGTCGTTAAACCCCAATTTCGGTGAGTGGTCATTCATAAAATCATCCATTCATTTTCATTTTTTGATATTTGTCCGCTTAAGTGACTTTCCGAGTTTGAAGTAGTGTTAAAGTAGTCTTCGTCTTTAAACACGGATTTTGAAATAATCTACACTCAGCTTATTAGTTCATGTAATTTTTTTTATTAAACTTAAGTACTCTTATTAGTATAAGGCAATAAAGTAAAATGTTAAATTGTGTTATGTGGGTTTCAGGTTGGGAACGTAAATTCTAATAAGCGTAAATGGAAGAAAACACATTAGGCTATAAAGCATGAATTCAGTTGATATTTTTAGACATCTCTGTGTTTATTATTGAGGTATTTAAAGGAGTCATGAATTGGGCCAAAAAATATTAAATTACAATGTTTGGCTACACTTAATATAACTGATATACTGTCACTACATCATTCTTAGTAACTGTTCAGTTCGTCCCCTTAGATTGTATACAACACGTCTGAGTCATGGAATCATGTTGACATCCTTCTTCTGATCTTACTTGTATGCCTTCGTCAATGGTCAATTACAGTACTAAAATGTTATTGCGGTGACGTTTATGAAAAAAGTTGTGAGAGTTAACTTCCTTTAACAAAACAACTTTTTTATATAGTTTTCCCTTCAGGTTTATGGGATTGTTTTTGAAATCATTAAATTTCTCATTCAAAACTTGTACCCACCATAGTTAACAGCTCCATAGCAAACTGCTTGCTGGTGTATTAAATATTATCGCTTTCCCTCTGTTGATGAATCACACGGTTCTGTGGAAAGACCAGAGAAAAGTCTACTAAAATCCTCCAAACAACTTTTGTAATCTCCAGTAGCCTCAGAAAAGTAAGCAGTAGGCTGTTGATTGGAATAAGCTCCAGCAAAATTGAGATGTGCCATCGGTTCTAAGTGGCCTGAAAGAATAGAAGGGGTCTCACTTGGAAATATTTCTTCAGAACTCAACTCGTTGCTTACTCCTTGTATCTGATTGTTTTCTGGTGATATACTTGTCACGGTGGATGAAGAGACTGTGGTTATTGATGCTGTGGTTGTTGATGCTGTGGTTGTTGATGCTGTGGTTGTTGATGCTGTGGTTGTTGATGCTGTGGTTGTTGATGCTGTGTTCGACATATCAAGACACGTTTGTTGGTCAGCCTTAAAGTTGCCTAATAAGTTTTCAATTAACTGAGGCTCATGGGAAAACACAGCAGGAGGAGGAGGACTAAACTTTACAGCCTGGAGATCGTCCGGTGATTCTGTTTGTTGCAAAATGTTCAAACTCTCCGCATTTTTCGAATAGTCTACCTCTTTGGGGTGGTTATTATCATGATATGGAATAGTGGTTTCGTAAACTTCTCCAAAATCATAACCCGAATCAGCAACTTGCATGTGTGGGTAGGCAACAGATTCTGCTTTTGAAGAGATGATTCCATCACTAGCTGAAGAATACAATTGTGTACTATAGGTAAGAGATTTTGAATCTTCTCCGGAGTGACCTGAATCATTTGACTCTATTGATGATGACTTAGATGGATAAATATCCGTTGGGTAGTTGTTCGTTACTGGAGCCCTAATTCCAGGTAGCGTACTGCTTGATATCTGTCCACTAGTAATTTTTGTGTTCCCCTCATCTTGAGATGTGCTCACTCTTATAGAGTTTTGTGGGCCATTATTTTGAGAGGTCAGAAATTCTGTTTGTGTATTAGAAAGCATTACGTTGTTTCCTTGCGTTGTGTATAGGGTATGTGAAGTTACATTAGACGCAATCTGATGGGAATCACCCGTTTGTATCAAAACAGTTGATACTTTACTTGAACTTGATATGTTGTTAAGATTTGGCCCAGAATTTGTAGGAGTAGAATTATTTGAATTCAAAGGTTCTGCAGGCACAATTGTTGAATATATTGTGATTTCCGGTTGATCAAATCGTGGCCCTTTGGGACTTACAGTTGACATTGTCTTTTCACTAATATTTTTAATAGTCAAATCCGTAGTTAAGTATGCAATTTTGCTTGAAGTAGCCTCATCTCCGGGGGTTGACGTTGTGTTTATTGTTCCAGCTGAAATTTCGCATGTACCATTAATATTAACAGTGGTTAAAGGATTTTCAGTTGACAATGTCTTTTCACTAATATTTTGGAGAGTTGAATCCGTAGTTAAAAGTGCAGTTTTGCTTGAAGTAGTTGCATCTTCAGCGGTTGACGTTGTGTGTTTTGTTTCAACCAGAATTTCACTTTCGGCATTAACAGCAGTTGAGGGATTTACATTTGACAATATCTTTTCACTAATGTTTTTAAGAGTTGAATCCGCATTTAAAAGTTCACTTTTGCTTAAAAAA